TTTAAAAAAATTGAGTCAAATTATTTTTTAAACTGATTATTATTTTTTAAAAAAATTAAGTCAAATTATCTAAAACACACTATTGGCTCTCTCTCTTATCGAATTTATATATCCAAACACATTATTCTCATTTAAAAATTATAAAAATAATCAATCATATAAATTATACTAATATATTTTTAAAAAATAAAAAAATCTTTTTCTTAAATTTGATTTCAAAATCAATATATAAAAAAATCAAATTTATCAAAAAAATAAAAAAATTAATTTGATGAGAATTTTAATAAGAAAAAAATTGAAAAAATAAATTTTAAATAATAAAAATAATATAATCGGATATATACGTTCAAACTAAATTTTTTTTAAAATATAATATATATTCTATTACCGTCAAATTATATGTAAAACTAAAAAAATAATAATAATTTTTTTCTATTTTCACACCTAATTTCATGATAAAAAAATATAAAAATAAATTATTGGATTGAAAAATAAAAGGCAAACAGAAGTCGCTCGTGTAGGTTTGTGAGCTAGGCCAAGCCTCGCTCGAGCTCGCTTGCATAGCTGACCCTTAAAAAAAAAAACCTATAGTAAATGAACAAGTGATACATTCAAATTTTTTTAGTTTTTTTTAGTAATAACTTTTTAATATTTATTTACTTTTTAACCAATATTTTTCATTTTGAGCTAGAAAATTTTAAAATTTGATCGAATATGTTTATTTTTATTGAGGTACAACATATTCTTTCTATTATTTACCATGTGTTTGGATAGGGAGGAAAGTGAAGGAGAGGAAAGAAAATAGGGAGGAAATAAAATTTTTCTTCGTTTGTTTTGAGGGAGGAAAGCAAGTGGAAAGAAAAAAAAAATCTATAAATGGTAGGATCCATTTTCCTCCCAAAATTGGGAGGAAACGGGGAGAAAAGCGTGAGACATATCTTTTTTTTTTTTTTTCACATTTTTGCCCTTGCCTCAGCATCCCCCTCATTTAATTGGTAAATGATAACAAAAACTTATGACTCGCATGGATACTTGTCGAGTACGTTTCAATACGTAAAGATTGCGTGGGGTATGACAATATATATATATATAAAATTTCAATTTTAGATTATATGCGAGAGATAGTGATATAGCGATGAGACGTGATAAATACAATTATCATACATAGGGGTACGACCAAAAATACATTTTGCGATTAAATTTGTAATTAAAAAAAAAAGGTCCAAACATAATTTTAAGTCTTATGAGTTACGAACCTCAAACATTTAACTATACAAAGCTTTAATTAATTTTTTATAATTTATAATTTTTATAAAATATCTATTAATCAATATTATGAATGATAAGTGATTATATAAATATTTTCATATATTTATTTATAATTTTTCACAAGAAGAAACATGATGTCATTATTTCTAAATTAAACACTTGTTTAGTTTTTCACAAGTACCAACATAAAGGATGATGAGTAACACTTACTAAATCTAAGAAAGATATAAAATCGTGATTGATCCTTTCGTAGTCATTTTCAAGATGGATTTAATTTTTAGATATCCAAAACAAATATAAATAACATGATCTCTATTTTGTTTTAACATCATTCCTCGAGGTCATTTCGGATAGATGTTACATGCTAGATTTTGTTTTTAATTGTGATTTGTGTAATTTTACTGAAAAAATATGTACACAAATTTATTATAAATATTTAAATATAGAAATAATATCAATAGGGGTATAATAGTAAATATTTAATAATATATTTTCTTTCCTCACTCTTTTTACAATTATACAAACAAGGAAAATATACTTTCTTTTCTTTCATTTCTACTCTTATTTAAACAACAAGTGAAAAATAATTTTCTTTCTTTTTATTTTTTTCTCTCATTTTTTTTCTCTTAATAAAAAATATCCAAACAAGGGGTTAAATAAAAAGAATTAGTTTTTCATTTTATAAAACAATTAAGACGATAGAAGACAAATAGAAACAGAGAGAGGCGCGAGAAGCACCGAAACAGGCAAGAGTTAGGAAAACACCGCCACCAGCTAAATAAAGAAGGGAAAAGAAAACAGAACAAAATCTAACGGATTTGAAGAACACATGATAGCTAGTACTATTTGTAAGAACTGAATCTGTCCTTGTGACTCCTTGTTGTCTCGACTCCTTCTCCTTTTTGGTCTCTTAAAACAAATACCGTTCTTTTCAGCCACGCGTCCAAATCATGTTAGTACACTACCCCATTCCTAAGGACACATTTCAGTACCATTCAAAACACGAAGGAAAAAAGAAACATCACCTTTATTATTACCCCAAACTCCAAAGGGTGGAAGGGTATCATGTCTTTTCGATAAAATTGGACCCCATATATAGCAAGAATATTTTTGGAATATATCGCACTCAAAAAATAAATAATAAATAATGAAATGAGGCTCATCAAATTAATTAAATTAGGTGGCCAGTTGGAATTCTAGATATGATAGGACCTTCCTTGAGTCACAACCTCCCTGATGAGATATCAGAAATCTTCCCTCTCTCTCTATGATACCGTTTCTATCTGAGTAAGGTGGGAACTATGCAAGTCAAGGTATAAGTACGGCAATTGCCTTACCTTATTGTTTGCTATATAAAAATAATATCTTCTGCTTCTTTTTTTTTTTTTTTTGAATTTATTATTTTAAAAATATATATAAAGTATCATATCATCGTTGGTAACACTTTATTCGCATGTGATTTTTAATTAATATTTATCTTATACTATGTGACGTATGTTATTATCTGCAGATATTGACACAATAATATGATAGATTAAGATAAATTATTAATTAATCTAAGTAAAGTATGTTTAATTTTATAATTGTAACATAATATATTAAATTATTGAACTTATGCTGACGAATATGAGTTCAAATATAATCTAAAACAACATAATTTGTATGTTTTAAGGATTAAAAAAAAACATTAAAATGGATATGATTTTTTATTATCTATAAATATTAACTCAATAATACGATAGATTACAATAAATTATTAAATAATTTATGTAAAGTATGTTTAATTTTACAATTGTAACATAATATTTATTAAATTATTGAACTTACAAAGATGAATCTGAGTTCAAATATAATCTAAAACAACATAATTTACATATACTAAGGATTTGTACAAATCATTAAAACGGATAGGATTTTTATTATAAAAGAAAAAATTCACAAGTCATGTTGGATTAAAGATGAAATGGAATGAAATAAATAAGTATAAATAATAAGTAATAAGAAAGCAGTTCCCTAAAATTACAAATGCAAATGCATGTTTAAGTTCAAACTTAGTATTGCATATAATGAAAATTTATCCTAAACAATAAAATGGATTGTGATTTTTCTATATAAGGAAAAAAAAAGATTTTAGTGGCACCTTAAATTAATGACTTGATATTATATTTTACTTGGAATTCAAAGATTTTTATTTTTGAGAATTTGCAATCGTACAAAAGGATCCAACTCCATTAGTCACGGCCTCCCTCTGAAACATCTCTCTCTCTCTCTCGTGCAGTTCTTACCTAAGGTGGGTTGTAAGCAGGTCAATTTAATAGAGTACGGACTCCCCTTTCTATGTTAATTGTTGTCGTATAGATATATCTTTTGCTTTTTCTTATTTCAAAGTTAATTTTTCTAAAATTATTAATTAAAAGCATAAAATGGATCGCGTGATTGATGCATTTTTAAGTAAAATTTACCTGATGGTTCAAGAAAACCTGAATTTAGAGCAGATAATATTTATTCTTTTTTTTTATAAATGTTTTTTTATTTTCACTTCGAACCGTACGTACGTGAGATGAGTTTCTAACTCAGACAGCTCGGACCGAAGACCGCAAGACTAGTTACAGCTATTTTTCCAACTGTGCCCACTAAGAATAAACTATTTGTATTTTATTTTGATTTATTTTTAATGTTGTCAAAACTTAAAAAAAAAAAATAATAATAATAAAGTAATGTACGTACTGGGTTGCACTTGAATCTGTCCTTCCTCACATAGTTCTCCACCGAATGACATGGTCCGAGTTTGCGATAAGACAACGACATCCTTAATGACTAAACTGCCCCCGTCAACTCTCCCTTCTTACTCCTTGTCCTTCTCGTCCTCTCCAGTACGGATATCATTACTCTACTCAAAATACAAGAATGCCCCCACCTCTGATCTTTGATTTGTTTAATGGAATTTTCCTCCTATATATATATATATTTGATTAAGAACTTAAACAAAGTTAAGGTAAAGTAATTAAGATAAAAAGAGGCTATTAGACATAAAATTATTGAAAATCTATATTTTAGTTACTACGTAATTATGTCTGTTTTATTAAAAAGTTTATCTGGTTCTGTTTTATATAATAGATGACATCTATTAATTTTTTTCTCTCAAAATCTAGTGTAGGAAAAAAACTTCTTATTTTGTAAAATTTGTAGTTTAATAATTTTTTGTAGAAAAATATATGACAAAATTCTATAATTTATTTAGCTTTGTTTATATAATTGGTGATCACTCACTCTCGTTTATTTCATCTAATTCTTTTTTTTCTCATTCTTTATGCAACGAGATTTTATTTAGATTATTTGGTGGCATATTGAACAATTTTTTAATTAAAATCACAATAAATATATATAGCAAAGATTTTCATTTAAATACAAACTGTTGGTTTATTCAAATAATTTACAAGGTTAGTTTGGTCCTTTCAAAGTATAGCAGCCAGAATACAATACCTTTCTTAGGAAGACAAGCATGGCTAATTCCGTAATATGAAACATCCTTCTTCCTCGATCGGCACTCCCTCTTCGACTACCTAACAACAAACCACCTCCATTAATTTTTTCTGTTAACGGTTACTTCTAATCCTCAAAGACCTCCCTTCCTTGTATAAAAACACCCACCATTTCTCCTCTTTTTCTAAAATCCCAAAACAAACCTAACACAAAAATCACAGCTTTTTTCAGCTTCAGAATCTCTTACCATGAAGAGACAAAAAACCACAGAAACCAACTCCAACAACAACCTCTTTGATCTCTTGTCTGAAGAGATAATTTTTTCAATCTTAGACTTCATTAACACAAACCCTTTTGACAGAAAGTCCTTTTCTTTAGTTTGCAAGTCATTTTACATTACGGAATCAAAACACCGCAAAAATCTTAAACCTTTGAGACAAGAACACCTTCCTCGAATCCTTAACAGATACCCACATGTAAACCATCTTGATCTTTCTCTGTGTCCGCGTATAAATGACAGTTATTTGACAGTTGTATCAAATATTTGCAAAGATTCATTGAAGTCTATTGATCTTTCAAGGTCAAAGTTCTTTTCTTACAATGGGTTGATGAGTCTGGCTTTGAATTGTAAGAATTTGGTGAGCATTGACTTGTCTAATGCGACTGAGTTGAGAGATGCTGCGGCGGCTGCGGTGGCGGAGGCTAAGAATTTGGAGAGGCTATGGTTGGGGAGGTGTAAGTTGATTACTGATATGGGAATTGGGTGTATTGCTGTTGGTTGCAAGAAGTTGAGGTTGATCAGCTTGAAGTGGTGTATAGGTGTTAGTGATTTAGGGGTTGGTTTAATTGCTGTTAAGTGTAAGGAGATTAGAAGTTTGGATCTTTCCTACTTGCCGGTAAGTTTTCCTTGTGTTTTTGTTTCATTGTTTTAATTGTTTTATATGGGAATGGATTTATTTTGTTGCTGTATTAGGCCTTGAATTAAGTTAGTATAAGGTAATTTGTTTGTTGGACCCAACAAATTGGGATTTTCCTCACTTTCTTGCATATTTATTTATAATTTCAGTTGTGTTTTAGGCTACTTTAGGACATGGTGGCTTCTAATGTTTTGTAACTATCCGAGATGAAAGTTTGCAAAGTTTTATCTGATTGAAATTTTTTGATTGAATGGTATATTGACATTATGGTTTTCCTGCTGTGCAGATTACAAATAAATGTTTACCATCCATTTTGAAACTACAATATCTTGAAGATATAGTTGTAGAAGGATGCTTTGGTATTGATGATGATAGCCTAGCTGCCCTCAAACATGGCTGCAAGTCGCTGAAGGTATATTGGTTAGCGAAGCATTAAATTTTTTAATCTCAGATGAGTCCTGATATATCACACCTAATATTATATAACATGTCTGCCAAATCTCTGTAATCCAAATATTGGCAATGCTTCTATTCTGATGCAAATTAGAAAGATACCTATATATGATCATTAAGTTCTTTCTTGCGTATTTTTATGGCATGGATGTCACTAAACATGTTTTGTTTAATTAAGTTTACAATATGATCGATATAATAACACTTGAAATATATATCTGCATGACTATAGCTTGCCATATATGCTCGGCACACACAGACATGCGTGCGTGTGTGCATCGAACCGTAAAATACTGTGTTTGAATTTGACCAGTAGGGCTCGTTCCAAGTTTTATTTTCAACTAAATGAAAGTCCACTTCAATTGCATGCAAAGTAATCTGTCTGACAAATTATTATTATCATTCCTTTCACAGGCACTCGATATGTCAAGTTGTCAGAACATAAGTCATGTTGGCTTGTCTTCCTTAATAAGTGGTGCTGGAAGCCTACAGCAACTCACCTTAGCATATGGCTCTCCTGTAATTTTTTCTACTTTGTTTTTTCGTAATATTTAAGCAGTTTTTTCTTTCTTCGATCCCGTTGCTTACAAATCTCTTGGTGGCGTTTATTCAGGTCACTCTATCTCTGGCTAATAGTTTGAAAAGTCTATCCATGTTGCAATCTGTCAAGCTAGATGGTTGTGTGGTTACCTCTGCTGGATTAACAGCAATAGGAAATTGGTGCATAGCACTAAGTGAGCTGAGCTTGAGTAAATGTTTAGGAGTGACAGATGAAGGTCTCTCCTCTCTTGTAACAAAGCACAAAGACTTGAAGAAGCTAGATATAACATGTTGTCGGAAGATAACTGATGTCTCGATTGCCTACATCACAAGTTCATGCACCAATCTCACTTCCCTCAGAATGGAGTCATGTACCCTAGTTCCTAGTGAAGCATTTGTCTTGATTGGACAGCGGTGTCAGTTTCTTGAAGAGCTTGATTTAACAGATAATGAGATTGATGACGAAGGTTTTTCCTTTGTACCTACACTTTGTAAGTAAGAAATACTTGTATAAACTAGCAAACTTATGCTCGTTTTATTTGCAGGTCTGAAGTCCATTTCCAGATGTTCTGAACTCTCCAGCTTAAAGTTAGGAATTTGCCTAAACATAAGTGACGAGGGACTTTCACATATTGGCAAGTGCTCAAAACTTGCTGAGCTTGATTTGTACAGGTATTTCCTGATTTTCTTTCTCATTCTTATTCTCTTGGGTAGATCAGCCAATGTTTTACGGGTATTTGCCTTGGTTCTAGTCAATGGAATGTTCAATGGAATGTAAGTAATTGAAATATGAGCAATCATAATTTATGATGAACTGATTGTAGTTGCTTTTTTCAGGTCTGCTGGGATAACAGATATGGGCATTCTAGCAATTTCTCGAGGTTGCTCTGGGCTTGAGATGATTAATATGTCATATTGTATTGACATTACTGATAGTTCCTTATTATCTCTATCAAAATGCTCAAGGTTAAACACATTCGAAAGTCGAGGGTGCCCGCTTATCACATCTTTAGGTCTTGCAGCCATTGCTGTGGGGTGTAAGCAGCTCATTAAGCTAGACATTAAGAAGTGTCATAACATTGGTGACGCTGCAATGCTTCCGCTTGCTCACTTTTCTCAGAACCTCAGACAGGTAGTTTCTCTTTGGCTGTTTGGCCTCCATTGTCTCACTTGTTTGCCAAAACAACACCTTGAGAACAAGTACTAATATTGGTGGTTATGGTCTATTCTTCCCTTATGCAGATTACTCTATCTTATAGCTCAGTTACAGACGTGGGGCTCTTGGCCCTTGCCAGTATCAGCTGCCTGCAAAGCATGACCATCCTGCACTTGAAGGGTTTGACTCCAAGTGGATTGGCAGCTGCCTTGTTGGCATGCGGAGGATTAACAAAAGTGAAGCTCCATATATCTTTCAAATCATTGCTTCCACAGCCTCTTTTTGAACATTTGGAAGCTCGCGGTTGCGTGTTTGAGTGGAGAGATAAAGAGTTTCAGGTATGTTCTCAATTTATGATGAGTTGGCTCGATATTTCTGTAAACTATCTGATTAGCTTAATCTGAATATATTATCTGCCATGTACGGATGTACCACAATGGTGTTATTATAGTACGTCAGTTGGTGCGCATCCATGTACGTTCTGTCTAGAGGCACCAAGAGAATATTTGTCCACATGCATGCTTTCTTCTCAATATCACCAAAAAACAATACTAGTCGGCCACCCCAATTTACTTTTTGATTTTAGGTTCCAAAAGTTTTGAAGTCTTAACTCACGTGTTTTCATCAACAACAGTTTTAAAAATTTGGATGGATCAAGTTCGAAGCATATATAGATTTTTTTTTTGGGTGAATAAAGCAAAGAATATATAGATAATTGTTATTCACCGAACACATTCTGTGATTTGAAACTTTTGATGGCTAATGTTCTGTTATTACGATTGACAGGCTGAGTTAGATCCAAAGTGCTACAAGTTACAGTGGGAAGATATTATAGCTCAATAGTGATCGAAAGCTGTGTTCGTTGGGGCGGATAAGTTCTCTTGCCAGCAAATGTAGATTCCAAGCTGAGAAGAAGGCAAAGTACAAACTTCATGTAGCAAATAGGAAGTGCTTAAAAGGTTTGATGCATCTAGTCATCAGGTTTAGCCTGCCTTTCTTGATTGGATTGTACAATAAAAGGTTAAATCAAGTTGGCCCAATGGTCTTTTAGCTGGACAGCTTGGAAGCAAGCGGTGACTTGTAGTGTGTAAACAAAATAAAATGCATGTTCCTCATTCTTTAGTTCCTTCAATTTTTATTTAAGCTCACATGTCAAGCTCTTCATTCTACGATCTTCGTTATCGAAAGGAGACAACAAGCTTCTCTCGTATATTTCAAAAATATGAAAACCATTTGTTCATGGTTTGGACATCCAGAACGGAAGGGGTGACAATTCTTGGCCCATCTGGGCTTGGCATCTCCCAATCAAGCTTACACATAGCCCATATAGAAATGCATGGGCCTTGGAAGAGCAAAAGCCCTGACCACTTATTACATCTATTTACGGATAAAGTTTACGGTACATTCGAACGTAGATATGAATCTTCTTTTATTTGCTTCTGAGCCATTGGTTGTTTTGCAACAAAAAATATCGTGTGAGGATCCATTTTATACCCACGAAGGGTCAATTTCTATGATGACGAAAAGGCTCAGTGCCATCTAGCGTGCAATTGGGGTCTTAGGCACACGGTCATCTTTACATCTAATTAGAGAGCCATGTAAGGAAAAATGAACATGTTTTGATGTCTTACGTTTTTAAATAACTTTACACGATGTTATCAGTAGGGACATGACCAAGTCCTCCCTTTCTATGCGTCACAACTTTCATTCCAAAGGAGCAACATTGTTTGACGAAGTCAAAAAATCTATTTAAAATACGACGGTTACAATTTCCTGCCTTGCTAAGAGACTGACTGTACGATCCAATAAAACACTATGAAAACTGAGAAGTCACCATGGCCATTATAGTCTCCTTCCTTTCCCTTGTCTGTCTGGCTGTTCCTTGCAGTATTTGTAGTTGGTTGGCCAAAAAGAGGAAAAAAAAAAAAAAAAAGGTTCGAAATATGTCAAAAAGGTCCCACCGGGAGTCGAACCCAGGTCGCTGGATTCAAAGTCCAGAGTGCTAACCACTACACCATGGAACCTGGGTGCGAGCTGCTCCTCTCAAACTATTTATTTTACTTAAAATTATAGGGTTGGTCAACAGAGAAATGGTCAAACTTAACAGTGAATGGCGGATTGCTCGCAACTTGAGAACTTTAGAGAGTAGAAATATTATTTTAAGGTTCTTTTCTTTATAGCGAAAAAGTTTTGTAGTTTTTTAGTCCCTGCAATTAGTCATATAGCTGACTAGCCAATTTAAGTCGTCAAAAGCCCATGGTATGGGATATTGAAGAAATTTTACTCTCATTGCCTTATTGGGTGACATGACGAAAATTGAGCTTCAGAAAAATGATTATTATTATTAGTAAAAGTTTTTAAACTAGTGAAGTTAGGAACTTAATTGAGTGAAAATAATTAGCTCTAGTGTTTTTAGATAATCAATTGAGTCGTGACTCAAATTCTTGAGTCGACCTCTCAATTAATTTTTTCAAACAAACTTGATAACTTTTAGGAATATAAAACAACATATCCTCCACAATTAAGGAGTTATTTTAAAATTATAAAAAATATATATATATTTGACGAAATCTAAAAAAAAATTAATTATAAAAAAAGGAAATATAGTATGATATTAAGGATAAAGTTAGTAATTCTAGATTTGAAATTTTAACAAGCTTAGTACATAAAGTTTTGATATTTGAAATTACCATTCTAAAAAATAAACTACAACAAAGTCACCTTTTAACTTATATTACTATAAGTAGAGGTGAAATCGGATTAATTTGAGTGGATGAAGCTCTAGTCGTTTAAACATGTGGTTTTGAGTTCGAGTCTTTGTGTATGTAAAAAATTCTTTTTGTGGTTATTTTCACCTTGTGTATCTCATAAAACAAACATGTAGTTTTGATTTTAAGTCTTTGTATATGAAAAAAAAATTTGAGTGTTATTTTCACCTTATGTGTCTTACAAAATAACAAAGGAATAATCTAGATATTTGAACTTGGATATATAAATGTATATATATATATAAGATGAAAGCATGATCCATATGTTATGTTGACTGTTCATCCTTCAGCCACATCCTTAATGTCTAAATGCCTCATGTGATCTTATAGCTTGGTTCTTAGCTTTTTCAATGTTTTGCAAAAGTTTTGTTCTTTTTTAATATTTTAGTCCAAAGTAAGTTTGTATATTTTTAGGCATGTTAATTGTTTGACTTTATTATGTGGCAAGCCACTTAATAGTTTTTTTTTTTTTTCCTATGAAGAACTAACAATGACACGAATTTTAAAAATAAAATAGTTTTAGTAAGATTATGACGTATAACATCGTCTATTTTTCTATTTATATTTGTTTTAAAATGCCTATCATGTTTATTTTATAAAATATTATCCGAATTCAATTTTTTAAGAAAGATATTTTTGAAAAATATAAATAAAAAAACATTGATATGATATAATAATTAGTAATTTTTTTATTTTTATTTTTAAAAAATTCAAAAGAAATAATTTTTTTTCAGAACAAACAAATAGAATATATGTTTACATGTCATTCCTCAAACAATAATACTAAATACTTGTTAAAAAGTACTCCAATAATTATATAAAACCTACAAATAGAACTTGTTAATCTAATCTGACCCAATACTTAATTCAAATATAATCTTCTTACATTTAATAAAAGATCAATGGAATTTCGTACAAAAAACCATCCTTGTTATTATATATATATATATATATATATATATATCAACTCATCCTAATATTTGAATTTGATACTTCGAGTCTCTTTTCCAATCAATACTCAATACCATCTCATCTTATTTGCAAATAGTTGTTACTATAATTTCAACTTACAAATAAAACAAAATTCAAAAAAGATAATTACTTGTTAGATTTTTCTATTGATAGATCTTGCCATGCCATTCTCTCATACTCTAATATTTTGACGTCAAGCCTACTCCTTAGATTTGTGGCTTGCTCGAACATCCAAAAATCGAATTCAGGAGATTTAAGTTAGTTCCAGACTGGAAGTGGTACCAAAAAATTTCTGTAAACATGGGATCATGCTGCTCTAAATTGGGCAAATCGGATGCAAGACATGTGGCTAACCATGCAGCCTCCACGTTAGCAATTAATTTAACTCAGAAGCAGAGGCTTTAAGCCGCCATTTTCAAAATAGGACAAGTCCGGTCAAAGCTTGTGGCTTTGACCCAAAAATATTTTTCCACGGTCAAGCTTTGCTTTTAGCTTCTCAGAAGAAGCACGGAGAGAGACCTTAATGCATCATACCTCGTGAAAATTATCAACATCCAATCTTTTATATATTCTCTTACAATCCTCTGTAACTTCTCTATATCTCTCAAATTTAATGGCATCTTCAGCTTCTGCTAGCTTAACTACTTCTATAAATTCTCCATCTAACTTCTCTTTCTCAACGCAATTCATGACTTCTTCTTCTCCTTCTTCTTTTACTGATCTTCTTTCTAGCAATAACAAAGACATGGACAACCTAAGCTGGGGATTTTATGACCATGGAGCTAATGATAGAATTGGTTTTGAAATCCCAAACTTCAAGTCATTTCAACCATCTTCTCTTCCACTTTCTCCTCCCCCAGTTTCTCCTTCTTCTTACTTGGCCATTCCTCCTGGTTTAAGCCCAACTGAGCTCTTGGACTCGCCTGTACTTTTTCCTACTTCTAATGTAAGTTCATGAACTGACTTGTACTTGTATGAACATGTTTCTTACGGTGAAAAATGGGTCTGCTTTCTTGTTTTTTTTAGTTTCTTATTTATGTCATGTTTTTGCAGGCTCTTGCATCTCCAACAACTGGGGCTTTTGCTGGGCAAACCTTCAACTGGAGAACTAATTCTAATGACAATCAGCAAGGTGTTAGGGGAGAAGAGAAAACTACAGCGATTTCTCTTTCCAAACCCAAACAAGGCCTCCTACAATTTCATCTTCATCATCATCATCCTTCTTTCAATCTTCTTCAAACAGTGTTACAGTGGTACTTTTCTTTACCTTTCACTCATAGTTTATATTATGTAAAAGTTTGGAGCTGTTGAAAAGTCAATACTGTTCAACATTTGACCCTTTGAATTGTCATACTTTTTGATGCAATTCTAAATTTAAAATAATCACAACATAACTAAACGGATTTTGTAAAAAAAAGGGGAAAACGAAAACTTATGTTTGTAAAAAATTCACATGCCTGTTAGAGACGAATTTTTGTTTCTTTCCTATTTGTCTGGTTGGCCTGGACAAACATATCAAGTCTTTATAAGCAGAAGTCTCTTGTCTATTCCTGAACACGTGCGTTAATGAACAAAAAGTGTATCGCTTTTTAGGATCCTGAGAATTGTAGTATAGTTTATCTATAGAATTGTTTCCGTAACCTGCTGTGATTCCACTTGACAGGAAAAATCACTGAAAAGGAAACATGAAGAATGGAGTTTTGACCAGTTAAAGCAAACTGATCAGTTTTCATCAGATCAGAAAACAGAAGTGAAATCAGAATTTGCACCAGCTCAGAGTTTCTCCTCAGAATTGGTTCCACTACAAGGAAACATGCAAAGCAACACGGCTCTTCAACCAATTTACAACCAATACAATCAATCAGCTCATTATATGAGAGAGAATAGAAGGTCTGATGATGGATACAACTGGAGAAAATATGGACAAAAACAAGTGAAAGGAAGTGAGAATCCTAGGAGTTATTACAAGTGCACATATCCGAATTGCCCAACAAAGAAAAAAGTGGAGAGATCTTTGGATGGACAGATTACTGAAATAGTTTATAAAGGAAGTCACAACCATCCCAAGCCTCAGTCCACTAGAAGATCATCCTCTCAATCAGTTCAGCCTTCTGGAGGTACCCACTCAGAAATCTCTGATCAATCAGGAGCACCAATGGAGTCCGGCATGATGCAGGAGGACTCTTCGCTTTCGCATGGGGAGGATGAATTTGACCGTAATTCACCAATTAGTAATTCAGGAGGAGAGGACAACGAAAATGAACCTGATGCAAAAAGATGGTAAGCCAAGAAAAGATTGTCTTTTTCATGGCCTTACTTGTGTTTTTGAGATGAAATTGGACTGTGAGTTTAATTATGTTATTTTGTGAATTTTCAGGGAGCCACAGAATGAAAATGAGAGTATTTTAGGTGCTGGGAGCAGAACTGTTAGAGAACCTAGAATTGTGGTTCAAACAACAAGTGACATCGACATACTCGATGATGGCTATAGGTGGCGAAAATACGGGCAGAAAGTTGTCAAAGGAAATCCGAATCCAAGGTAATTAGTGCTTGCCCTTCATCATCATTTTGACCTAAAAGGATCAATTGCCTTTAAAGATGGTTATCACTTGGTTTCTTAATTGTTACAATTTTGTTATATGCAGGAGCTACTACAAATGTACATCTGTTGGCTGTCCAGTCAGGAAACATGTAGAGCGAGCATCACATGATTTGAGAGCTGTGATTACAACCTATGAAGGAAAGCACAACCATGATGTTCCAGCTGCCCGCGGCAGCGGCTATGTGAACAAAGCTCCATCCAATCCCAACAGTATTTCCAATGCGCCGATCCCTATAAGGCCTTCTGTCATGCCTAATCATTCTAACCAGACAAGTTATCCAAACTCCCTTCACACCACAAGATCATTAGCGGCATCAGGAAGTCAAGCACCATTTACCCTCGAAATGTTACAGAGTCAAGGGAGTGTTGGATACTCAGGTTTTGGAAAGCAGAATGGCACCTACATGAATCAAACACAATACTCTGAGGAAGCCTTCCCTAGAGCCAAGGAAGAGCCAAAGAACGACACCTTTTTTGATTCCTTCCTACGCTAAAAATGACTTTTACACTTGAAAAACATAGGATCGCAACAAACATTTTCATATGTTTGTGTTGGTGAATATTGATATAGATTTAGTGCATTTTTTAATTTGTTTTGGGGGCCCTTTGAAGCTCAATCGATGTATCATTATTTAATGTTATTTAGTAAAAATCTAAATGTTCATTTTTTGTATGCAGTCTCATTTGACCATGGACTGAATAAGACTTTGGAAGTTTCTCAGCTACTAAGATCATTTTCCCACCTTTTCTTCTCTGAATGTCTGTAAATCTTTGGTCAACTTTTCTTTTCTTTCTTAACTTGCTATAATTGTGGAATTGGTCCTACAATAATTGATCAGTAAATTATCATTTGCTAATAATGAGAGGAGGACTTGAATGCTTTGTCTTCAGACAGCTTTTCCAAAAAAGAACCACGAATGCTGTTCAAAAAAATAATAAATAAAAAGGAAAACAACAGATTCCTCTTATGTATTACAAACAAAACAAGGGCTTTTGTGCACAATGCTCTGATCTATTCAACACAGAAGTTTACTTACAGTATACTAAGTGATTGACTGATGAAACAATCAAACGTATACAAAGAATCGCAAACCAAGAGACAGAAATTTAAATGTAAGATTGAGTTGATAGTTTATATCCTGAAATAAGAGCTGATAATGCCAACGATATGAACGCGAAGAATCCCATACTAATGGCAGCTGCTGAGGAATCTGTAAATATGTTATCTGTTCCTTCTCTCATCCTATTTGTCAAGGGAACTGCTGAAGAAGCTGAAGACACCAACAAGTAGGCCACAAACTGCAAATTCAGTAAATAGGAAAGGAAAATTGTCACTATCTGAAACCTTCACATACAAAGCACCAACAAATCGAAGTTAGATACACAAAGAAAAGGATGTGCACTAAATCTATGTTATGCTCCCAGTATTCCACAACATGTTCGGTCAAAGGAATCAAGTTCCTATTCTAGGCGGCATTAAAGTATTGTTTTGTCATCTAGCTTAATTGGAAAAAAATATTAAGTATTAAACTAAATGAGTTGCAGTTTCCAGTTGAGGATACAACAGATTGAGAAGTTTCTGCACTTGTCAGATGAAATTGAGCCTCCTCTGCACAAACCATACGATAGATCCTACTAGGTTGAATGTTGATCCCACCATCCACAAGCAGACCATTGAATATTTTTGTAGGAGGAACAAAAGGCTAATAAATACAGCAGGAATCAATTTTATCACAGTAAAATAACAAGAGGGTATGAAGCCAATTCAGATTGGAAACTTCTCCAAAGTCATAATGCCATGAAACAATTTGATAGCGAAATGAAAATATATGAAAAGTGATACTAATTTTCCTCCCCGACTTGCGAATTACATCTAGAATTTCAAACTTGACTCTGAGAAATAAATTATACCATACATTACAAATTATAAAGTTCTAGATGTAGAAAAATCTAGGGAATGAGACAACTGCGTTAAACTAGCTGTGGAAAACTAATAGCAGGGCCTTCCTTTAGTTTGACTCCAGAGTTTGCTAAAAAAAAAAAAAATAGTAGTTAATGACGACCATCTAGTTCTCTCTAATTTCACCGAATTTGGTTAAACATTGCTGTCAGCTTCAAAGAAAAAGAAAGGGGAGGGGGATGATACCAAAAAGAAAGTAATTACAATTGCTGGATTGTCTAATCTATCAATTTTGACAAATGAATTTTTTTCAATTTAATATTTATCAATACATGCAAACCACCCGGTCGCATGTGCTAGGTAAATCTCGAACCAAAATTTTGTGCACGAGGCCTAAAACAACGAATCATTGGCAGCCAAAAAGACTGGTAATATGCCCCTCATTTACAGAACTCAACAAACCTTAACCACTAACAAAGGTAAGAAATTAAGGATTTTATATCCGTTAAAGTCACAATCAAAGATAAACAAATCGCAGAACATTAGTACTGCGAAAAGAAGTAAAGAGTCAACCTGATCCCCAAAGAAATCAACCATGGCAGAAGTCCTTTTTTCTAACAATTGTTTCCCAGTCGAAAGCTCATGGACTTGTCTTAACACTTGCGCTCCCGAATACAAAGTCGAAAGAATTGCTATTGCCAACAAATACCTACATTTTTACACTAAATTTAATAAAAAAATAACTAAAAAAAATATTAAATTACTCCAACATCAAAAACCCGTTTGCAGTTTCATTGTTAATTACCTGTACTCTTCGTATTTATCAAAATTTTTCCAATCACCATGTTTGTTACTAGCCATGATGATAAAAGCAAGCAAAGAAAATAGCAAAGCCAATCCTCTCAAAGCCAACGACCCTCTCTTTAACAAATCCTCTCTTCTCCATCTCCTTGTAATCGACGCACCACCAAAACCAGTTCCTGTCTCCACCGGTGTCGGATTTTCAGTCGCCGGCGATTCGACGTCTTCTTTCGGTGGTGGATCCTCTGTATTTGACATCTTGATCTTACTTTCTTAAATTTCACGGAAACGAAACAACGTGGAAAACAAGGAGAAGAAGAAGAAGCTTCTATTTATTAGGACAAAAAGGAAGGAGTTCCGCTTTCGGAGTTAGTATTTAGTACGCATTTAGTGCAGTGCCAATGCTTGTTTCCACTTGATTTAGCCCATAGGAACTAGAAACGTGTGAGATGCCTATGAGCGTGGTGACGTGTCGTAGAATGATTGGATAATCGTTACAGTGAGATTCACATGGAATGTTGTGGAAACTTGGAGGTTCTAACTAACTTCGGTTGATACGGTCCAGCGAAGCAAAAAGCTGTAATAGCCAATAGTAGGAGAAAACTCCGGACATGGAATTAAAAAAATGTTGTTTTTTAGTTCGACAAAAAAAGATTTGGTAAATATAAACTGCATTTTTAGTAATAGGATACTATTTGTATGCAAATAAAAAAAAAAAGGGAACTTTTTTCTAAAAAAATTCAATACTAAATTAATGACAGCCATATCTTGATTATATGTTAAACCTTTGGGAGGTACTTTGTTCTTGTTTGGCTTTGTATGCTCACTTGAGTTGGTGAAATGCAGTTGCATAATTATTTGTTAAAATATAGAAATTGTCAAGCCTCCATGGCAATTGAAGGGGCATTTTGTATGTGAGAATGTCTACTTGAGTTGTGAAAAACAATGGGATAAATCCACTATAAATATATTAATTTTTAATTTTTTTTAATTGAATAGAAGAATTTTATTTTAATTTTATTTCATTTGAATACATAATTTTTCAAAATTATTAATTAAATATTTTTGTTAAATTCTATGTAAGTGATGATGTATCCGTTATCATCAAAATACAAAATCATAGTATTATCTTTTTTCCTCAATCGATTACATGAATTTTTTTTTCGTTTGAAAACATCGACAAGTATTTTGATCTATTTTTTATTAACTAACGAAACATTTGTTGTTTTCAGAATATTAAATTAAAATTCGTTATCTTTTTTATGAATGAAACTTTTCTTCAAATTATTTGTCATTTTAAAATTTAATAAAATTAAAAGATAATTATTTTTTGGTTATAAAACTTCAAAATAAATTCAGTTATGTTTACGCATGAAAATTTAAAAAAAATACAGATTTGAGATTTTTGATGAAGAAAATTCATTATTCTTCAGCATTTGAAAGGAACTGGAAACGTTTAGTGCAGTGCCAATGCTTGTTTCGACTTGATTTAGGCAATAGGAACTGGAAACGTGTGAGATGAATATGAGCAAGGTGACGTGTCGTACAATGATTGGTTGGAATTAAAGGAACATTCACGTGGAGTGTTGTGCAAACTTGGAGGCTGGAACAAAGTTCGATTGATACGGTCCAGCGAAGCAAAAGGCTGTAATAGCCAACAGTGGGAGAAAACTATGGACATGGAATTGAAAAAATGTTCTTTTTTGAGTTTGTCAAAATCTATATATAAAAAAGAAATTGTGCATTTTTTATTACTAGGATGCTGTTTATTTGCGAATAAAAAATAGGAATTTTTTAAAATTTAATAATTTATTAATGAAATCCATATCCTAATTATATGTTAAATCTTTGGGAGGTACTTTGTTTGTGTTTGGCATCGTATGCCCACTTGAGTTACTGAAATGAATTTGAATAATTATTCGTTAAAATATAGAAATTGTCAAGCCTTCATAGTAATTGAATGCGCGTTTTGTATTTTTAGATGTACCAATAAAGATGTTTTCAAATTAATTTTTGTATATTTCAAAACTAATTTATTTCTAAACATGATTAAAAAATATTTCCTAACATACAACTTGGAATATTTTAAAAATATTAACTATAAAAATGATCATATTCCTAATTTATACATGGAATTTTGCTTACCAACCACAGTCTGCTATCTTGTGATTAATGGGGGGTTTTGTGGGTAAGTATGTCCCACTTGAGTTGGTCAAAAAAACAATGGTTAAGTTTTAATTCTTGGAGAAACTACAAATTAGTCCCATATCTATATACATGATTTCAATTAAGTCTATAAAAATTAAGTAAGGTTGTTCTTGAACTATAAGATTTTTAGTCGATGTTGTCCTTCATCAAAAGCCAATCAACAGAATATCTTAATTGTATGAGGCTTTTGCACATTATGTCAAAATCAAGTAATAATGGCAAGTAGAATTTTTTTTAATATTCCTAATTTTATTTACTACCACTTACCATAAAAAAAATTTTTTTGTTAGAAAACTACTAATCAATGGCACACATAAAAAAAAATGTTAATTTATACGTTTTGTTAGTTGCTTTTGAGGAAGAAAATGTTCGTTTCATTTTTAAACTTTGGCGAGTTAATTGAAACGATGAATACAGTTGGGAGACTTATTTGTAAGTTTCATGAATTCATAAAAAATCCATGGTCTGTGTTTCTGTCTTACGAAATTATGATGTAAATTGGTGACCAAATATTGTTGGATCTTCAAATCATGACTGAAACCAACAGAGTTACACTATCGAATCAAAGTAAAAACATAAATAAATAATTTTCCCTCTATTTTAAAACTATTATCCCTCTTTCTATTTATATTTGTTTTGTGCGATGAAAATTTTAAATAATATATTTTTAAATATTTTTAATTGATAAAAAAGTCATTTTTTCTTTTCATTTCTTGTTTTTCACTACCAAAAAATCAATATTAGTTATACTTTTCTCTTATACATACAAATATTTTTAATATAAATTTTTTTAAAAAATTATTTGTTGCATGAAAAATATTTATTTTTGTATAGACTTTACGACATACTAAAATTTTGAGAGCAAAATTTTTATTAGTATATCATTTTTTCATAATTACTTTTAAACTTGATTGTTAATTAATTTAATAATTTTTTTTAATTTAACAACTTAATTTTGAATGGATTTTTTTAAAAAAATTAATGTTGGTTTCATGTAATGTATGATTAAATTTGATAACTAGTAATTTTAACAAAAATTTTTTTTTTTAAATATGAACAAAAAATATTGATATATGAATAATTGTATGAAAAATAAAAAAGAAAGATTTTTTGGGACGGATCAAAGTAACACTCTTTAATAGGGAATGAATTAAAATTAACAGCAATGGAATTTTTGTGACGATCCTAATTTTGAGTAAACTCCTTGACTATTTGGGAATAAAAGAATTTTAATTAGAAGAATAATCAAATGATAATAGAATCTCATTTTCTAATATTAGACTCAAGGTCCTTTTCTTCAATCCTTTGCGTGTTTGATTTAATTCTTATCAGAAGTTTTTTGTCTGATATATCATTTCTTAGTCGTATATGATTGGGCGTGGCAAAACTTCATTAATTGGCATTGTTTAATTTAATTGATGATTGTAAAAATCGATCAGCTGCCTTGCCCTTCCCTCCACTCTATCTCAAATGCGACATATAAATGTTACTCTTTTCTTCATCTTTCCAACTCAAAAACAAAGAAAACTTAAGCCTCAAAGGAGCAGCGTCCCACGTATCAATGAAGCCTCCTGTTTAGTTCCCGTGTCAGCCAAGAAATCTGTACTGTTTTTCTTTTCCCCCTTGGCACATGCTAGATTTGATCTTTCTGATCATAATCAACTTTAATTCATCATTTCAAGTCAGAAGGGCCCATTGGGCTATATAAGATTATGGGCACAGAGCTATTCCCTAGCCCAGATAGAGGCCATCGTAACTGGCCAAGTCTTAAACAACCCTCCTGTGTTCCCTCAAGAAAATATTATTGACTGAGTGAGAGATTTTTGTTTAAATGTGTTTGCTCCCCCCCTCCCATGAATTCATGGGTAGTTATATTTACTTTCATGTATTTTTTGGTGAGGGTGGAAGCAACACATCGAGGTTATTTTTGGGTGGTATTTTTTGCTCGATTTTATATATATATATATAGAGAGAGAATAAGCTCACCACTAGTAGCTATGTAAATAGCTATCGAAAAATATTATAATATTCAAGAAGTAACTAATAGTATATACAACAGTTACTTCATGGATTCACTTTAAAGAGAGATATAGATAAAAAAAAAAAAAAGAGAAACATGGAAGAGAAAATTAAAAAAAAAATTAAGCGAATGTGGAAATCTTCTTATCATTTTTTGTAGATTTGATATAATTCTTTATGCTTATATCTCTCCTTAAAATAAATTCATAAAGTACTATTATATATTTTATTGGTTATCCCTTAATTATTATAAAATTTATCAGGTTGTGTACAAAATACATTTTTAAGGCATTTACATCTATACTCCTTTAAAAGGCAAATATATGCCAGGCCACCACTCGAAAAAATCTAGAGCAAGCCCATCCAAGCCAGATTATTTGGGTTAGGTGGGCCACACAGCTCGTTCTAGCCACAGTTGCAAAGGATCTTCAATGTGCTGCGATGCTTTCTTTCATTTATTTTATTGTCATTTGTTTCTTGAGAAGAATTAAGCAAGACATATCTCTGACCTCACATTTTAACTCCCCATCGTTACTCTTTTTTTTCCCCCAGTTAACCTTGCTATTGAACCTTTGGATGATCATTACGTTCTTCACCTACCTGGTGACGGTAAACTTAACAAATACAGCCCATTAGAGGGAATACTATATTTTCTATCTTATAAAGCTTAGATTCAACAGATCAAGTCTCGTCGTTAAATGGCATATTTACATGGATAGTCTCATTTAAATGGAATCCCAAAGTCCGGTCACAATATAAATACAATAAGAGTTCCTTCAAATTTTTATGAGGGCAAAAATGCAATATTGCTTTGCTTGTGAGATCAATCTATTTGCATCCCACCACAAAAACCAAAAAAAAAAAACAAAAACAAAAAACAAAAAAAAGAGACAAAACTCTTAACTCTTAAGAAACACAAATGTTAATGGCTAGAAAATCAAGAAGGAGACACTAGGAGTTGGATGTCATGTTGGCAAGCCGCCATATCTTAGAAAAGAAAAATCAATTTTTGTTCCACCTTCCATTAAGGG